AGACAAGGGTGACAAGGGTGGAACTCCTTATATGGGCATTTGGAAGAACACACCCGCGCACGCATCGACCGCAAGAGCCGCAAGAGCCGCCCATCAACGCGCTTCATCCGTCGGGACTCGCTCGGGAAGAATGTCTCCAAAGTGTGTTTTTGGTTGTAAGGGAAAGATAACTCAGCGTTAACTTTTTCCGGAGCAGCAACGGAGTTTCACAAGTGTGTTTGTTGACGAACGTTTTATAAACAAGGGCCAGTTCGACGCTGGATTTGCACATCGTTTGATACTGATGGAGCGGTCCCAGTGATAAAAGATCCCGGTCATGATTCAGAACTGCAGACGGGAAGTGAAACGGCATCAAATGTCTGTTTTGTTGGCATGAGGCACCCAAGTGCTCGTCACTCTTTAGCTCCGCCCATAATGGGACCTTTAAGAAGCGGTCATGGTTACAGGGTTTCTTTTAACGGCACAAATCGAGAACACACGAGTGATACCGGTTTGGAGCGATTTGGGCAACATGGGGTGGAAAGTGACGTCACACGGTCAAAAAAATATTGTTTATTATCTCAAACACCAAACCAATAAAAACGTTCGTTTTTGCGGCACAAATCAGCACAAACGAATGGCATAGTTTTGGTGATTATTTCTTTTTATGGGGTGCCAACTTCACGGAGGTCTTTTACACAGTTACAGTTTACTACCCTTAATGTAAATGAAGTTGCTCCTGTCGTGACAGCTGTGCTCTGTATGTTAATGAAGTTCTGACCCCTGATTGTCTGAGACGGTTCTCGGTGTCCCACACCCGCTCCCATTCTACAATTGGTCACCATTTGCTCAGGATGTGATCATCCCAAATTATCTAGAAATAACATAACTGTTGACTTTCCTCTTCTCTTTAATAATTAAGCCGTCCTTGGGAAATGAGCATCAAACATCTATCAGTGAGTGGAATCTGGGTCGGGGCAGACTGTAGTTTCTTACAACACTGGTCTCTGTGTGTCTGCAGGACTGTTCGCGCAAACGCAGGTCCCGTCTTTAAGGGCGTGTGTAAAAACTTCTCGTGGTCGCAGGGTCACGGCTACATCAGACCAGCTCACGGTGGAGAGGACATCTTCGTACACGTCTCAGAGTGGGTCAGAGTTCACGGACCTGCTCGGACTGAAGCATCAGACGCTTTAGTGTCGTCACAATCAGGTCCACTTCACACCTCAAAACCAAGAGTAAAAATAGAAGAAAAAGTAATAATGATAACAACAATAATAAAGTATAACAATAACCCTGTAAAAACTATATTTTCAAAATTGTAGGTAAAAAATGATTGCAGTATGTTCTGCAAGAAAAACTCTATTTCAGTCTTTCTACTTTAAAATTCCATGTTTAATTCAATGTGTTACTTGTGAAATTTTACTAGCAATTTCTGTGTGAAAATGGTTTCTTTTTTAGTGAACTAGGATTAAACATTTAAAAAATAATACATTTACATTTATGCATTTTTATCCAAAGCGACTTACAGTGCATTCAGGCTATACATTTTTTGTACCAGTATGTAATAAAAATAATTTAATAAAGTATGAAAATAATAAAAATGATAAATCAATACAATATAATATTTTAAATATATTATCATTTTAGTAGTAGTAGTAGTAGTAGTATGAAGTATAATAACAATAATCATCATTTTAAAAATGAAACAACAACAATACTTATATAAAGTATAACAATAATGATAACAATAATTATAATAATAATACAATACAATACAAACGATATAATTATATAAAGTATTACAAAAACAATAACATATAATTTTATCACGTATACTATTCATAGCTATAACAATAGTAATAAACATTTATTATAAAATAATAATAATTATTATTATTAATTGTGTCCAAAGTTTTTTTTATTTCCTGTGGTTTTAGAAAACAGATTTTTAAAATAAAGGGAGCGTTTCCTTCTTTTTTTTTTTAAGAGACAACTACAAAAAAAATGCTGTTTTTTGTTTTTGTTGAACCTGATTTAAAAAAAGAGAAACTTTATATAGCACATTTATGTCTTTGTTGTTTCTAATTTATAATACAAATGATATATTTATCAAGAACAAACATGTCATACCTAACCTGTTATTTGAAATAGCTATTTACTGCAGAAGAAACTGTCATGTTTGTTTGCTGATGCAGAATTATGGTAAAATGTTGTCAGATGCAGTAGCTTCATATCAGACCTCACAGTGTTTTAGAGGTTTTCCCGCTGTTACATGTCCGTGTAAATCACTGCTCCGTCTCTTCGGTAGTATTGAAGGGGAGTACGTTCCTGTGGAGGGAGACGAGGTCACGTACAAGGTCTGTGCGGTCCCGCCCAAGAACGTGAAGGTCCAGGCCGTGGAGGTGTTCCTCACGCACCTCAAAGCAGGAACCAAACACGAGACCTGGTCGGGCCAGATCATCAGCCCCTAGGATCCGGACTGCGGGGAGGCAGGAGGGTGGGCTTTCCCGGAAGAGAGAGCAATGCATCGTGGGAAGGCTTTTGAAAGCTGAAGGGTGCAGAGAATGTTGAGTTCAGCAGACGAGCTGCGTTACGGGAACGTTTAGATCTGAAACAGACTCTACGCAAGTGCACACATGCAAATATTTCTAATTATTGCACACGAATAAACATTGCGTTCGCAACGGCGTCACAGAAGTTTACATAGAGTTTGTTTCTGGTTAAATGAGTCATCTGTAGGTGTGAGAGACTGAGAGATGATGGTTGAACATCCTCAAATCAAACGCATCGATCCAGTGGCACACGCTACACTTGTGGCTGTTTTTGGCTCTTATATTTATTTATGCATTTATTTTTGATGTTAAATAGATGGTAACAGGGTGAATCTCACAAAAACCTGTCCAGAACGTATCATATTCACATTTACAGTCATATTCACCCCAAAATCAAAAGGAAAAAGTAAGCAATTATGTCTTGCATAAAGACTATTTTCAGGACAATTTAACACATTTACCCCCAAATTCATAATACTGGAAAATAATAATAATTTGTAAAGCATTTTACAGCATTGTGCATTTTAAAACATCATAAATTGTACTTGTTGTACTGACTTTAAGCATTTAGATGCATTTTATTCATGCATTTTACTGATTTTAATTTTAAAAATCACGAGAATCATTACTGAGAATAAAAATAATGACTAAAAACTTGGTACAGCATTTATTGTTTTACTTATAGCAGCTCTTATATTTATTTATGCATTTATTTTTGATGTTAAATAGATGGTAACAGGGTGAATCTCACAAAAACCTGTCCAGAACGTATCATATTCACATTTACAGTCATATTCACCCCAAAATCAAAAGGAAAAAGTAAGCAATTATGTCTTGCATAAAGACTATTTTCAGGACAATTTAACACATTTACCCCCAAATTCATAATACTGGAAAATAATAATAATTTGTAGAGCATTTTACAGCATTGTGCATTTTAAAGCATCATAAATTGTACTTGTTGTAGCAACACACAGAAGTAAACAAAGGTGTATGTTTGTAGAGTAATTTACAACAGCTTCGAACTTGGCTCAGCCAATCAGAATCAAGGAACGGAACTCTCCGTTTTATAATTAGAAACACTTGATGTCCGATTAATAAAACGGTCGACGTAAGAAAGGTCTTAATAAAAAATCCCTGGAAATCAGTGGGATCAGCATCATGTTTTCAGGGATCAACGATGCTAGGTTCTCTCTGGAATGATAATATCACGTCTAAACTGATTCGTAATCTTAACCACGCTAAAAGAGAGCGATGCGACAAACCTAGATCAACTATTAATTAACTTCGCGTTAGATCAGATTTTGTCGTTTCGGTCCGTCATTCATTCATAAATATGCAGATTTTATCATCATCTTCTAAATATCTCAGAGTCAATCCGAGATCAGAGCCACATTCAACTACAATCACAAACATCTCAAATAAGATCACGAGACCATAATAAAACTTAAGCGTAAAAAACTTAACGTGGAACAGACAGAACTGATCACTCGTTTCATCACGTTGCGATTGGTCAGCGACACAGTGGTTACGTTCACACTGCAGTTCCGATGTCTGATTGGGTTCATTAAAGCCACGTTCACACTACAGTATTTTAAGCCTGATTAGCAAATTAATGAGCTCGCCGACAGGTGACAGCAGCATTTGTATAGAATCTGAAACCCTTAACTGTTTTGGACACCGAAGGCTTGTCTGAGGTGCTAGAAAGCCACAGAAACAGGTGCGTGTCTTCAGTATCTCACAAAACAGGGCTGCAACCACTGCAGACATCTGATTAATCAGATATGGCCAAATTTGTCTCTGATATTCTGCTGCTCCGCTGCACTCTATTGCTCTGTTTATTGTTAGGATGAGAAAAGTGTTTATTTTTTGTGGTCTGCGTATAAAGGCACTCATCAATGTCAAATGATTGAGATGGCCAATCAAATCAAAGGAGGCGGGGTTTACCGTTCAAAGAAGCCGAGCTGATCAGTTTTAACGGCTGAAAAATGTGACGTAAGATGTAGGCTACAGCTAAACATTAATATCCGTCAACCGTTGTAGGACAGAAATGCTAATCGAACGACAGTATTACGCACGTATGCAGACTACTCAACGTTTTGTCAGATTTCATAGTTTTGAAGAAATCATGCATTCGAGTAATGTATTTTGTAATAGCCCATATGACAAAACGAGCAGTTCTGTGGAGTGGATGCGTGAATATTTTAAAATAAAACAGTTTAAATGCATTATTTTACAATAAGTTGTGAATACAAATTTTCATTATTCCCTTAAATGCCTTTAAATCGTTTAATTCCTTTAAATAAATAAAGCACCATTACGTGACGGAGCACACGAGGTAAACAGAAAAGCAAACGCCTCTTACTAATTACTGATAGCTAATGTTACTTCGGTTAAAAAGATGAGTTAAAAGCTAGTTTACAGCGTTGAGGTGTCAAACAGTGCACTGTCAATCATCATAATTTCTGGATTGAGTCCTGTACTCTTTCATCATTCAGAGGATTCACTGTATTTTAAAAACAGTTGTCACTCCGGAAATGTTGCAGTGTGAACGTAGCCACAGTAAAACGCTTTTTATTATGAAACGAGGCGAAATCTTTCGATTTAAAATTAATATTTGAACATTAAAAAACTAAGAGCACACACTGATGAGGCCCTGTCAGTGATATTTACATGCAGTCCCTTCAGTCTGCAGATCAGCAGTGGATTGGTTTGATCTCCATGTGTGATGGCTCTCAGGCTTTGCCCACAGTGACCAGTAGTGGGCGCAGCCGCTTTCACGCCTCATTGGGTGGAGCGTTTACGAACATCTCCCTGCAGAGCCTCGCTGTGTCTTCAGGGGAGCAGACGGTGAAACCGATGGTACGAGGGTCCTCGAAGATCTCGTAGTCATTTCCACCCTGATCCGTGAACAAATATTACAAATAAATAAACATAAACACACATTAATACAGATACACAGCCATTCAATTACGCACCAACGAAGTTTCGTTGCCGAAAAAGTAGATGGCGTCCAATCCTTCCTGTTCCAGGACGTCCAGACAGAGGCGTTTGTCCCAGCCCTCCGGGAAGATGTCGAAACTGATCAAACCCCCTGCAGACAATGACAAAACCCACAATTAAGAGACAATTTAAGAAAAGATTCATTTAACATTGGTGTAACCTTGAGCATCAACTTTGCATTCGTTTTACATATGAGTATCAGTTTATCTACAACGCCAGAAGCGTTTTTCCAGATAATGTTCAGTAAAGTTTTTAGCCGTTTGCAAACTTCTACCAGTTTTATCCAGTAAATTAGATGCCCTCATACCAAACCCTGCCTTCCTAACACGTGCCAGCCGATGTGATGCCAGCAAACCTGAGCATGTAAATGAATGACAGGTACACAGTGGTTTTGATTGATTAATCAAATGCAGGCTGCTTCTCTGACTCAGTTGCATTGTTTACAAAGCATTAACCCTGTAAATAATAGTCCAAAAAAATACATTTTTAAATGGAACTATTTTTGAACCTTTAGAAAAAATCTATAATAAAGAAAGTTTGCATATGTGTTTTTGTTGAGTATCATTTGATGCATCAGGCTTTTATGGCTCATATAGTATGACACAGAGGCAGACTTACCCATTAGGCAAAGGTAGGCGACCGCCTTGGGCCCCCAAAAGTCATGGGCCCCCTAAAATGCTTTTCATCTACGAGATGCGCATTAAGCACGGACACGCGAACGGTTGCTTTTTACGGTGTTTATCACCACGACAACCGTCTGCGTGTCCGAGTTGAACACACTTCTCGTGTATCCTGCTTGTAGCAAATGAAAATATCATGCATCTGAAGCTGTAATTAAATATTGAGCACCAGTGCGTATTATATGTTTATTGTTTTAAATGCTGTTAAAATGACGCATACGCAACCAACCGGTTGATATAATCCTTAGGTGTGTAAATGTATAATTTCCTTTTCATTATTTTTTTCTTTTTCATTTAAATTTGTAGTTAAAATAACTAAAATAAGTGTATTTTAAAGTTTAGAATTAGACAGCAGAGAATGAATGTGCATTTTCAATAATCACGTCTGCAGTTTTTGTTCAGACCAATACGAAAATCCACCCACATAACCCTGTTTTAAATTAATATCATAATTTATACTTCCGACTCATCTCTTTTCTTAAAAAATAGTTGAAAGGCTCAATTGTGAAGTTTATCATTTTATAATTTATTTTGTTTTTGTGAAAACTGTAAGTCAATTGCTATTTCGTGGTCTACAGCATGAAAGAAAAATGTAGAAACATTGGACACACCTGTGGGGCACCATTGTGCAGCAGCAAGCATCACAACAAAAAAGGAACCTCAAAGCTAAATTTGTAAATGTGTGCAAATACATAGGGCCCCATTCATATATTTTGCCTGGGGCCCCCAAATCACTAAATCCGCCCCTGGTCTGACACAGTGAAAATATGTGGGGGAAAATACCTCAAAGATCTTTGTAACAGTATAGCAGATAAATGAAATTATATTAATACCGGTCATCACTCTATATCTCCAAACAATGTCTTAGTAAGATGAGACTTAAATGCTTAGTTTTATGATCAAAACATATAAAGCAATGCAATACAATGATGACTGAGAGATGAACAAATAAACGTTTCTCAAAAGCCTGACGGATCATATTTGAGACTCACTTATTTTTCTAAAGAATTATAACTGAAAGCTAAGCTGCTTCAGTCCAGTAAGTGTTCATCTTGAAATATCACTAACAATATCAAAGTTATTACTTTATAAAAAACCATGAAGCATGAGCTGAAGGTGGACGTTTGTGCAGGTACTAAAAGAGCTTTTACTTGCTAAGGGTCTGAACTATCAATCAGACGACAGAAGGCATGCAGTAGATTGTGTGCAACAGGTTTTCCAGCAAAGTTTAAAGGGGTCATATGATGCGATTTCAAGTTTTCCTTTCTCTATGGAGTGTTACAAGCTCTTGGTGCATAAAGAAGATCTGTAAAGTTGCAAAGACTAAAGTCTCAAATCCAACGAGATATTCTTTATAAAAGTTAAGAGTTAACCACGCCTACCTAAAACGGCTCGTTCTAACACGCCCCCACATGTCTACATCACTATGTGGAAAAAACAAAGCCAGTGTGTGTGAAACTCAGCTGAACTTTAGAGGCAAAACTGCTGGAAATTGACTCCAGACGTCAAAGCTAATACACCTCATTTTGAGTGTGTGTGTGTGTGTTTTCTCTCACGGGTCATTGGTCTGTCAACACACACACGAGCGCATTCGTTCGCTTATCACATTTAACACAGATAACGTGCGTGTGTGTTTTATGTGCTGTGCAGGTACAAACAGCTCTGTTTCAGCACGCTTCATTTGCTTCGGATCCTCAGAGAGCTGGTGATGTCATTTCCTGCTCACCTCTGGTGAACCGCAGACCTTTTCCTGCAAACTCCTTCTGCAGAGCCGCCACAAACTTCTCTCGTATCTTCTCTCTCTGCGGGACAGGAGAGTTTGGATTGAAGTTTTGGGTTGTTTTTAATGTGTGTTTAGGTTCATTAGTGCTTTAAATGAAAACAATCAATTCGTATGGACCTGTTCACACAGGAACACAGATCGTCTAATGACAACTGTCCAACTTGCTTTACTAAATAGACCTTAAATAGACCTTTCTTTTTGCTGTGCAGGTACAAACAGCTCTGTTTCAGCACGGCTCATTTGCTTCAGATCATCAGAGAGCTGGTGATGTCATTTCCTGCTCACCTCTGGTGAACCGCAGACCTTTTCCTGCAAACTCCTCCTGCAGAGCCGCCACAAACTTCTCTCGTATCTTCTCTCTCTGCGGGACGGGAGAGTTTGGATTATTTTAAATGTGCGCTTAGGTTCATTAGGGTTTTAAATCAAAACTGTCGATTTGTATGGTCCGGTTCACACCAGAAACACAAATCGTCCAATGACAACTGTCCGACTTGTTTTACTCTGGGTGTAAAAAGACCTGAGGATTTCATGTGAACAAATCCTCAACCTTTGGCCAATTCTGGAAAAATCTTAACTTTTATAAAGAATATATCTTTGGATTTGAGACTTTAGTCTTTGCAACTTTACAGATCTTCTTTATGCACCAAGAGCTTGTAACACTCCAAAGAGAAAGGAAAACTTGAAATCGCATCATATGACCCCTTTAATATTTTCAGGATCTACAGACACACATAATCAATCACCTGTTTGGAGATGAGTTTGCCATCTTTGTATTGCACGGTTCCATTTTCGGCAAAGACGTAGTCAAACTTGTGTATGACTGCAGAGAGAAAGAACATGACACAACAGAATGAGACGCAATCAAAGCACTCTGTTCAGCATATCTTATCATCATCCTGATGACCTTTACCTGTGTTACACAACACACATACTGATGTAAACAAGCTCATTTACACTCAGAGAGCTTCAGTGCTCATTCTGATTCATTCGAGACCCACAGTTTGATCACTGACTGGATGACTTAATGATGTCAAAGTCACTTTAACTCACATCAGATCCAGGTTCTGCTCTAATCTGAGTGTGAATGTGGTTGGATTCGGTTCTGCAGTGTACTGTTCTCAGTCTGATTCAATCCGGATCTCTTGGTTTATCTAATCAGAGCTGCACAACTATAATGACAACGCCAATCATCAAATGCTGATGACACTATAAACTGATCTAGATAAATGATAAGATCTAGAGAAAAGACAAACAGAGAGTCGAGACTGAAATTAACACCCACAGGTGAGACAAAACCACACATCAAAAATACACAAAAATATAAACTTGTCTTCTAGACAGCAATGCAATTAACATTGTACATTCATGCATTTGGCAGATGCTTTTATCCGAAGCGACTTACATTGTATTTAAGGAATAGATTTGATCATGCATTCAATGGGAATCAAACCCATGATCTCTGTGTTTCTGTCTCCATACTGTTAGATCATGCCTCCATGCCAGAAATATCAGATCCAGCCCCGGATGCCAGATCCTGTCAGAAAATATCTGTTTTATCTGATGACAGAACAGCTAGTCAGCAAAGATGTCTAATATCCTGGTACTCAAAATTGTATTAACAGTCTTCTATCAGCCAAGAAGCCAGAGAAGAGCAGAAGCAGGAGACAAAGTGATGATGATAAAAACAAGAGCAGAGTTTATTGAATAATCTTAGTTGCGTAGACTTCGTCTGACCAGCTCAAATCCAACAAGTCTTATAATATCACAAGCAATAGCAACACTGTCACATCATCCCGTGACATTAAAAGTCTTGAAATGGAGACATTCCCTTATCTCTTACTTGTGAAGACAAATATTCCTTGAAACCACACAATCATAAGATTAAACAACAATGGGAAAATTATAATGTAATATAAATGACTAATCAATGAATGAATAAATGGAATGAGTGTATAAATGGATCAAATGATTATTATAAATGATTATATGATCAAATGGAATAATAAAATGATAAATGAATGAATTAATGAATAAATGAAACAACACAAATGTATGGTTGCTCTCTTGAAGCAACACACACACACTATTTGCTACAAAGAATCATTAGATCCTTCAATACTCTACTCCAAATGCTTCTCAGATGTTCCTCCCAAGAAAAACAAAAAGGTAATCTCACAAGTGTCTCCTCTGAAGTTTCATAAGAAATCTCAAGAATGTCTCAAACTGTGCTCATCGAAAGTCTCAATATGAAATCAAACATTTCTCATCGAACACTCCTTTCTCATCATTCGCATTAACCTGAGACAAGGCTTATAGTTTAGAGAAGCATAACTGGGAACTAAGCCTTCTGAGCTTTAAAAAAGCAACCTGTGAGCAATCATTTGTTCAACCGTGGTAGTGACGTCTACTGGTATTGATTTCATAACTTTTTCTCCATTCCAGTGGTCACAGATGAATTTCACAAAGGAATTATGGGATATCAGCTGTTGTGTTGATGTCTGAGTTGACTCAGTGATCCAGTCAAACCAGCTCCTCCACATTCTACATCTGACGCAATATCCAGAACCCATTAAACACATGTTTGGTTAATGATCCTAAAGACTCGTGACCGTCTTCAGGGCGGATCATGAAGAAATGTATGATTCTCACCTTCATCTCCTTCTCCGAGCTGTTCTGCGATTTTGGAATAATCTGAACCACCCACCACGCCGATCTTCACCTTCTTTCTCAAGGCCTGGAAAAAATCGTCCAGCTCAGGGTCGATCTTCTGCAGACACACGCACAGAGTTACATCACTGTGGGGTTTCTGCTGTGGCCTCAGTGCCCCTGAAAACTGATTTACGACTCCATTAAACCGTGGCATGCAGCTGTTCAACAGGTTTCAGAGTATTTTTGATCAGGGAACACACTTTGGGTAGACTAAATAGTCCAAATACGTTGACTAGTCTTGTAAACCATCATGTCTGCAGCCCTGTGTGGTATACTTTACATTTATGTGTTCAGCAGAAGTTTAAGTGCACGTTAGTCAGATTAATGGCAGTGTTGTTTACTGACTGGTTGCGTAACGAAACGCTCTTGTTTTTCTGTCAGAGCTGCAGACTGTCATACACTCACGCTAGCACTGTACAGTAAGTCATATCGTCTGTGATTCATAACAGTGTGCTAGGAGGGGAATATGAATAGACATTTTAATAAACGTATAAGAAAACTCCCAGGTGTTTAATGAGGGAGTTTAAGAGCATCATGAAGGTGTGGCCGATAAACAATTAAAGGGGTCATGAACTGCATTTATTATTATTATTATTAATTTATAATGTTCTCTGAGGTTCACTTATGTTAGTGTGATTTTATATATATATATATATATATAAAAAAAAAAAAGAGAATTCAATTTGCGACATGACGAAACAGCGCTCGCGTCCGATCTAGATATGTTAGGATCACAAGGAAGGCAATTCAAAGACTATTTTTCATAACTTACACTACACAGTGTCTTGTAATCTTGTAATGTCATCTGTATGGTTCTGTTGAAGTAATCCTGTGTTTGCGTCTCTCTAGTATTTCCTCTCCTCTACTACAAGCACGTATCAGTGGGCGGAGCTAAAGAGGCAGTGGTGTCGAAGCAGGTGCTGATCTTTCCTGCGGAGGCGGGGCTTAGCCACACTATTACGTCATAAAGTGGCACATTCCAAAACAAGTCCTTTTCTGAGCTTGGTTTCAATAAAAGCTGTTTCTAAACTAACGAGAAAGTTTTGAGTTTTGAAACTTACAGGATGTTTTTATAGTACATTGACCCGTTACATGTCAAAAGATCAAGGGGAATTTGATTTCTCAGTTCATGACCCTTTTAATCAGTGAAGCTTTCACACCAAAACACAAGGCTACACTGACAGTATAAAGGTCCTTCACAAGAACGATAATGATGAATGAATATTAGCGTTCACACCAAAGGACGTTCCGTTTACTCTTGGCGCACACATGTTGTGTGGAAATAAACTCAGCATGCTCTTTAAAGTGGGAAGGTTTTCTGATTGGCTAGTGTTATCATCAAAGCGGTAAAAGTGATTACATCAACACCGTTCCTAGGCGTTTCCGTGATTCTCTTGAAGTTTAAACGGTTTTAAAACATTCTCGCTATCGCGTCTGGGTGTGAACGGGCTATTAACGTTGTAAAACAGCATTTCTGTGTCTTGACGTTCTGTATATAAGCTGTAAATGTTATTTTTACTTTTCATTTTTCATTACTATAACGTTCACATAAGTTAAAGCGGAGGACAGGACTGATGATGCAACATCTGAGGACACTGATACCAACTCATCTGAACGTAAATAAACACTTCATGAGCAGAACGGCATGTTAAGCGGCAGATTTCAGTAAGTGCTCATGCAACAGAACGAACCGAATTGGGACACGTTCCTTCAACAAACTGTCCAAGAAACAGAATGTTCACCGTACAATAGTCGCGTGTTGGTAATGTTTAGGAACTAACCATGAACTAACATTACAAGAGCGTTGCATGGGAACCATTGTCTACGTGCAGAACGAGTGTATACTGTACAAACACACAAAAGCATACTCATTCACCAATAATACACACTCACGAGACATATTTCACCTACACACAGATCAGCGCTGCAAATAGAAACATATAATGTTCTCATTAGAGCAGAGAGGACGCACGTTTTATAGCCCTTTAAATGTTTTGCATAATGTTATCTCATAACTATCATGTTGATTAAAAAGTATTTTATATAAATTCATAGCCTGGCATCTTACCTCTCTCGGGGGTGTCAGCGTTCCGTCCACATCAAACAAGCACAAAACATTGCGACCTCCGGCTAAAAGAGACTTCATATTCATGTCTTCTAGTCCAGCAATTGAAGTAGACATTTAAATTTTTTAAATAGATCAAATAAGACAATATATACAAATCAGACTCTAAATGACTCAAGATGAGTTAATGCATAAGAATAATAACGAGACACAGTCTCTCGTCTTTCATGAAACCGAAAGATAAAGTCAATACTGATGAGTATTATTGACCAAGATTACAGTGTATACTGCAGGCTACATGATCACTGCTGAGTGTGAATGAATCCGCACATGTAGTTCTTCTGCGGCACTCTCCGCCCTGAGGAGGGGGTCCGCCCCAGCCAATCAAATGCGCGGAGTCTGGTCACGTGCGCGAAGGGGGCGTTACCGCGCTGTGAGATGAGTACATGGAATTCGGAAGCTTCACGTAACAAGCGCGTTTAAACGCGGAGATAGTTCGACCTCTCACCTACTTCATTACATCTGATCATAACAACAGCAGCAGCAGCAGAGGAAGCATTACAGAGGATCAAGAAAATAAATAACAACACAAATTAACTGTAATTTACATTTACATTTAGCAGACGCTTTTATCCAAAGCGACTTACAAATGAGGACGATGGAAGCAATCAAAATCAACAAGAGAGCAATGATATGCAAGTGCTATATTTTTAATTATATAACAAATAAAAAGAAAACAATAGAAAAAGAATAGAGCAAGCTAGTGTTAGGCCTTTTTTGCTTTTGTAAATTGTATAATAAGTAAAAAGAAAACAGATAGAATACAAAAAGATTAGAGAAGCTCGTGTTTTTTTTATTTTTTATATATATATAAAACAAGCAGTTAGTAGGCTAAATGAATAGAGTGCAAGTCTAAAAGGGGATTTTCTTTTAAAGAATAGAATTAGAATAGGGAGTGCTAGAGTTAAGAGGGTCAAATAAAGATGGAAGAGATGTGTTTTAGCTGATTCTTGAAGATGGCTAAGGATTCAGCTGCTCGGATTGAAGGAAGGGTAACGGCATTAAACCTGAGAACTCGGAAATTACATATCTGACACACGGAGTATATTTTATTGCAGACCTGCAAAAGGACAAATTAAACTTGGAGAAGTTGTTTCGATTTTCTAGGGGGGCAGAGTGTCAATATACACATTTACCTACACACACACACACACACACACACACACACACAG